CAACGCGGAACATCCAACAGCGAAACGTATACGCCGGCCCCGTCGCCAAAGAATGCTCTTATTTGCGTTTGGTGCTGTGGAAACAAAATAAAAAAAAAAGGGGAAAAATACATGGCGTGGAGAATCACCCGTAAATGCTCGGCTTTTGTAAAATACAGCGGCTGCCCATAACAGTGTGCCGTTTGCTCGATAATTATCGATGCGCTCGTATGTGCACGCTCGCGCGCGCGCGCGCGCGTGTGTGTGTGTGCACATAGTTTTGCAACAAGATCTTTTATCCGATCCGTCGAGCAGTACGAAAAACATAGGTATGCAAATCGTTCGCGAATCGTAACACGTACAATAGAACACGCCCATTCATTCAACGATGTATAAAACTAGTTTTCGGTAACTTTTCCCGTAAATTTCTCCCATTAAACTCCGATTGCGGGCCGATTGTTAGCCACGATCTGGCTGCAGCCTCTGCTCAATTAAAATTAATTCGCCCGAAGTTTCTGTACGTCTGAACGTATCTCTTTGGATTAATGCGATACGTTTATCACGATACGTTACATCATTCTGTTTCACTATTCTAAATCATGGTGCGCGTTCAATGGATACACGTGACCGCGCACATCCTCGTTAAGCAACTGAATGGATCATTGTGCCGAAAATCGCAGTGCTTGATCGTCAAAGCGAGCGACGTGATCGTGCGGCCAGGATGCGTGTCCGCCAACATAAGGGTTGATCCTGGATTCAGCAGATCCTGCGCGGAGGATTTCGTCCCATTCGCACGGAAACCCAATTGCGCGGCTCTATGCGTCATTAGCGCTGGAAACGGAGTTAACGCCGTTAAATCCGGGTCGGTCGGTCCAGCCGCGATATTATTCACACTTGTGCCGGCCGTTCGTTCGTTCGTTCGTTGGTTGGTTCGTTCGGTCGCACTGATTCGTCGTCTCTACGAAATGACGACCTTTCGTGCGAAATGCGAATGAGCGATCGTTCGTTTCCGAATAACCTCTTTTTCGTCGACTAACATTTTTTTTCTCTCTCTTTCACCTAGTGTTTCTCTCTGACTGCCTGCATCCTTTCGAATCTCCTCACAACTCTTTTAGCCTCAGGTTAATTCGTTAGTTATGTATCAGGAGATCTATCGAAAAGTGTCTCTATTTGCATTTAGATTCAGTGATATATAATTGTGTTAAATATCAATTTAATACAAAATATTCAAATAACATAATCACATTGTGTTAATTTAACACTTGGATATGTTAAGAATTCGACATAAAATTTTCACAAAGATCAGTTTTATCATACAGTGCAAAATGGTTTTTATTTTGTACGAGATGATATTTGTAATCTCTCTCTCTCTACTTTTTACGTCTAAAAGTTTACGATTAATTTATATATGTCAATAAGTTCGCAGCGAATGTAAGAAATAATTACATCGAATTTAGCAGAGATTGGAGAGTCTTGATGATAATTATGGTCTAAGAATTACGCGTTTTATGTATTAAAATAAATTTTTCTTACGCCTGAAAAGTTACTGACGAGAAATTTTATTTCCTTTAACGTTCTATCAATATCGAATCTCGTCGCTTTGCCAATATTTTTCATGGCTTATTCGGCAAATATTTTCGATCTACAATACGCGAACTAAAAACTGGGTCACTTTACTGCAAAATGGGACCATTACGCAGAAAGAGTATTTCAATATTTTTACATTTACTACTGAATTCACAAACGTGTAAATAATTTTTGTGGATGTAATAAACGAATGTATATAACATGATGAACCGTTAAACGGACAATACTTTATATATTCGATAAAAACAAATACGTTTATTATGCACGTCCTCTTAAAATGTTTATTTTAATCGTATGCATTTAATTAAATATGTCATAATTTGTTTATGGATACCCGCATGAACATATACGTGTTTACGAGCCGCGAATTACAGCCGTGTATTCGCTACATTAACAAATTGCTTTTTCACTAATTGAAAGATTACATCAGCTACAGATCATAGTGGATCCAAAGGATAGTTCGTTGAAGTAAACACAAATACCCTGCAAAGTAATACCACTGTTTGCTTAGTGCTTCATTTGTGCGTTTACAATTAATTAATTTGTCCACCACATGTTCCGTAATTAGCGTAAGTGTTTGGATACAAATCCGAAACGCGACGACGTGCGTAGTTAGATAAATTTGAAATAATACGACTTGCATAACGCTGTAATTATTCTCTCATCATAGTTCATCGTTCAAATTAACTGATACAAGATTAATCGATTGTATTTGCGAGTACATCGCGCGACTTTTAATGAAAATCACAAATACAACTTTTCTATAAATTCACTCTGATTCTCATACTCTGCGTTTAATCTAAGGTCTGAAAAGACAAAAGTATGAAAGTAAATGCTAGATTTGTGCGTGTTTACACATCTATATATTCTCTGAAATTATCACGAGGTAACTCTCTCTTTCTTCGAATATGATATATTAAATTGTTATTTCTCTCTATTAACTGGAATGCATACTGAAGAAAGCTCGCTCTTTCAGGTATATTCAAACACGACGGCTGTATTTACGAAAAGTAAATTAAATATCACGCAAAACTACACAATCGATAACGACGTACTCGCGGTAATATCATTCAACAGAGAAAACTTATATTAGTTTTGCGAACGAAAAATATATACAACAACGAGAGGGATATTTTATCCGGATAAAATTGCATTTCTCGATATCAAGTTTTCTTTGAAGCGCTCAAAAGCTTCAAGGTAGTTTGTAAAAAGGTACGTTGTGAACTATATCTAGATTATTTTTTATGCCTTTTACTTGGACGAGATAATAAAATTTTAAGAAAGTTATCAAGTTAAACGCATAATAAGACATGCCTTACGGCACTTTTTCTTAGTGCTTGATTTGCGTATTATACAATAACGACGGAATCCAGCTGATTCACCGAGATCCTCACGATCGAGCAGCGAGCCTCGTGCTTTTGTATGTAAGGAACTATTATATCATTTGCATTTCAATGCTTGTCGCGTCTCTCTCGTGATGAGGAGGCTTTAAGTAACATCGATATCGATGCGAAAAGGCGAGTGTCGAATGAGGAAGAAAGAAGGAGCGCTCGAGACAGAGAGAGGATGGAGATGCAAGAAGAAACGAGCGTTACGAATGCATCGATATTGAATTGAAAATGGATTGCGCGGAAAACGGAAAGGAGGAAGAGCTCTGCTTCAGATGCGAATATAACATAAATATCCTCCTTCCTTTCTTTCCTGTCTTGCGCCTTTCATTCCCCTGCTTATTCACCGTTTATACATATTATGAGCTTGAAAATGCAGTTATCGCAAAATGTTATCCTCGCTTCCTCGAGACGGATCACGCGACATTAAATTAATCTTCTCGCGCTGTTTTTCCTCCACTTCTTTCCTCTCCATCCCCTTCACGCGGAACAAATCAATTTTCTCTATATTTGTGGGCTCGATTTCTATCTCAGCAAAATCTCTTCCTTCTTCCTTGCCTCGGCCGCGATAATAAAATGGTCGAAGGACGGGCGCGGTAATACTTTTTATTAAGTTTTTCTCGATAAACGTACCACTTGACTGTCGCGGATGCGACTTCGCGACCCGGGGTCTCCGGGGAATTTTTTTTTACGCCGAGTTGCTCACGAGGACGATTTAGAAATACGGGATTATTAATTTCATGAACACTCAAAGGAGAAAAGAATCCAAGCGAAATTCACTCGGGGTCTCGAGAGAGACGTTTTTCTTTCTCCTTTATACGATTATACTTTTATTTCCCGACGAAATTACAATATAAATTATTACGATACGTAATATAGCTATACGATGGAAGTTGTTTCGTAAAGGTATGTTTAGTAGATGAAAAAATAAAATGGCTAAATAAAAGAAAGCAGTTTCGTAAAACCAATTGCCATCTTGCCACGGAATGATGTAATTAAAATGAAATTCTTGTGCGTATACAAGCAGCTTGCTTCGAACCCGGCTCCGTTTTCGTTTCTCGTTCCCTTGAATTTTGCCGTTTGTTCCGCGCGTGTTTTCTCGTACGCGAGTTTTAGATATTCCATTACGACTTGCGCTCGGAGGTAAATATAAAAATGCTTCTCGTTCTTCCATGCATGTTTTACCTTTCCGCGCATAAATCAGAAAAGAATCTCGACATAACTTCCCGAGATCGGTTTCGGGTTAAAGTAACTGCGCAAACTTGGACAGTCGTGCGTCCCCTTTTATCTCTCAAACTGTGCAAGAGAATTTTGCTCAGCAAAACTGCGACACGTAAACGCTTTGTGAAATTGTAGACAGCATTATAGTAAAGTAGTTAAGTAGTAAAAGCGTATTACATATCGGATCTCAATTCATTAGTCTCACTAAGAGTGTATAAGCTATTTAAATAGATATTTGATCAAATTAGGCGCAACTAAAATACGTTTTCAAAGCAATGCGATATAATTGTCACCAATTAGTGGTGACAAAAAAATTAAGTCAGAATTAATAACCATATCATATACGCTTATGTGAATTATGATGTTGTTTTCTTATTTCAAAAGTAATGCAATTCGATATTTGAATACTTACCATAAATGAATTAAATAAACATTATCCTATCGATCATCAAAAGTAAATTTTATAAAAAATCATTAAAATTGTCACAACTGAAAAGAGTAGTTTAAAAAATATCCGTCAAAGTCGTTAAAACTAAAAAAGGGTGATTTTTTAGGTTGATGTTGTGAAATAAAAATGACAGAAATGACATTTGACTATGTTAAAAATACATTTTTTTGTCAATGTTTTACTTCATTAGTCAATTTTCCGTCAAGATGAAAAATTGTTTTTTCTCTTTTCTGAAAAACTGAATTTTTTAATGCTATTTTGAAGTACGAGAGCAATCTATTTATTTAAATGTTTGTTTTATTTATATTACTATTTGAACGTTTGAAATTAAACAACTTTTGTTTTTGTAACTGACAGAATCTTCTTTTTTGTTGTAGGCGTTTCTTGAAATGGCGGACGAGAATGCTGCGGCGACCATGGTGACCTATTACGCTTCCGGCGTGGCTCAACTCAGAGGCAGAGCAGTCTACGTGCAGTTCAGCAATCACCGTGAACTCAAGACGGATCAAACGCACTCCAACAACGCGGTCAGTAGCCCAACAAATGATGTCGCCAACACCTCTGAGGTCTGTGTCATACTCCTCGCTTCACTTCTTTCTTGCTTCACTAAACTTCGGGAATGGCCGCATGAACTACTACGCTATTCTCGCCGAACTAACTCTCTTTCGATCTTCTTCTAACACTCACTCGCTCTTCTCCTTTTCTATCAATGACGCAGATATCCAAAGTGATGTTGAACTTTAGAAGTTAATAGACCAACGTCATATATACATAAACCAAATACTCTGTAGCTTGAAACTATAGCTGAAAAGTGGTATAAGTTTAACTAGGTCCGTTATTCTCTTTCAATCTTGAGAGAGAGAAGAGTGTTCTTGATAGTTGTAAGTGTGAGATGGATTGAGATAACACGGATTTTCAACACTTATAAACAAAAATAAACTGTCAATTTCCGGTTTCATCCCTCACTACTGGAAAGTATGGGAATGCATCATCCATGTATATATGTCGTTGGAATAGATACATATTGTTGGAATAGATATACCTATATTTAATCGTAAAATTACATATTTCATAGATGATAAATTTTTATTTGATAAAAATTGATTTAATAACGCTATACTAAAAAAAAATTTTTTTTGATTGGCGAGACTAAATAAAATTTTTTTATAATAATAAAAATTTCTGTATGGTCTTACCCTTAGCTATAATAAAAATAAAGATACACAGCCCGTCTATTCACGCACTGTTGGCGTCGAGGCACTACTATGTCTCTTGATAGATACCCATTTCTATAAAATTATTGCTCTCGGTTTAGATAGAATGATTTGAAACATATCGTTTTTCTAAAATATCGAGTTAAAGAGATGCTCAATTTTTTCTAATGGAGCGTTAATGTTAAAAACAAATAATGTATAGTTTATACAGAGAAAAATGTCTGGTTGAATGAATTGGTACTCTGGTTGAAAATAGAATTAGAATTTTCTTAAAAACTAATTTTTGTTAAATATACATGGAATTTTAATTGAGATATAACTGAAATTCCAGTTGATATAATTAGGTTCCTGTAGTTCGTTCATTTTCCGCTAGACATTTTTCTCAGTGTATTCTTCTACGGATCTCATTAAAATGTCATTCTTGTTGATCTACGTTTTGTCAGTTTAATCAAAACATTTTCCTCAGTTTCACGTTCTTATCTGCGTATGAAGCAAGGATATACGCGTCGTTTTACCGTGTCGATACGGTGACTTCGATGCCTCGAAGCATTAGCCGAAGGCGAGCAAAGCGTAAAACGAGAGAATTCTGTCAATACAATAGTTATTACGCGTGTCAAATATTAGTTTTGACAATATGTTTATGCGGGCTAATTAATTAAACCAATATCTTTGCATATATCTTTGATCATCAGGATCCAAAACATATAGCGCGTACGAGCATGCGAGAACGGGTGGAACGTCATGGCCATTTCGTCGTCAAGTCAATCTAAACACTCGCGCCCGCAAACTCCGTTATAATTAATGCGTCCATAATTTATGAACGATCCCTCGGGCGCGAACGGGCGCGACGGTTTATCCCGCTACACTCCGCCAAACCCTTCGTCTACGTGACACACGGTCGTGCATAATACTACTTGCAACTTGCGTGTGTCATCGTGTGCTACCGGTCATCATCGGAACTAGTTAACTCACTGCGTAATTTGGGGCCGCACGGCCGTTTCAAATGAAATTTGTCAGCGAATTAATTAGCACCCGAATTGAACCCGTGAATCAATTAACGGAATTCAGTTAGGTACACTCGCGTCAATGGTTATGTTCCAAAGACAAAACCATTTACCGAGCGCTTAGTGATTCTTTATTACGATTGATTTGTACATTTAGATCCATCGAAAATCTAAAAGCAAGAATCAATTGTATTAGAGAATGAGCGCTTCTTGAGAGACTTTGTCTACTGAACGTAGCTATTGGATCATGTAACCTTGAGCAAGAATTACTTTAGTTAGTCTCAGTTTCTATGCTACTAAGCAAGAATTACTCCAGCCAATCTCGGAGAGAGAGAGAGTCACTTGACTCTGTTAGTGTGTCCCTCTCCCTTTAGATTTTGCATAACCAATCAGTCGTAAACAAGCAACTTCATCCAGCTTAAACTCGACTATTATTATGTTCGCTGTCAAGTCAGAATCAACTTATATCTCTTTTTAAAACTTCTGAAGCAATCTATGGATTTGTTGACTCAACATGATCAATGTAGAACGTTTCCACTTGGAAATTCGGCGAGTGGAACGATACAGCGGTGGCTTTGAAGCGCGTGCTCGACGGACCCATACCGCAGTGTGTCATATTGTCTTCTCACCGTCATCTTTCAATTCTGTCATGGGAGAGTCGAGAGCGACGCGTCGAGCGAAGCTAGTATTATCGTTAACCAGCCCCGCCAACTCGCGTCGTCGACGTCGTAACTCCGTAAGTTTCCCGATGCCATCGTGTCGGTCTGTCTCCCTCCCGAGGACATTCCCCGTCCTCCCTCCTCTGAGTTATCGAACTGCCGTTGCCACCCCCGGGGGCGCAACTTCGCGGTGGAAACGGACACCGATCCCACGGGGAATCCTTCGGGAAAGTTTCACGTGTAGATCGGGATGGGTGGGAGAGAGGGAGAGCGCGAGGTGGTGATGGTCTGCACGAAAAATAATAAATAAGGGAGTAAATAGCCCGGCGACGCGCTTCGTCGCCACCGATGCTTTCTCTTGACACGTGGAAACTTTCCGCACACGTGACCGTGGAAACTTTACATCCACGAGATTTACAGAATCGCGACGTGTGCGGTTTACCCGAGAACGAAATTCGTCGTATTTCTAAGAAATTCTTGTACGCAAATCTTACGTTGTATCTTCTTACGATGTCATTAGCGTTTCACTAAATGATCGTAAAACACGTGAAACGAGAAGTTGAAGTGACTTTTTTATGCGCACTTAATGTACACTACTTTCTTTCATACACCACGCAAGATTCTATTTCTAAAAGTCATTTCAAACTTGCTCCATGAGGATTTAATTTTTAACATTTATTTATATTTTTTTCATATGTATCTATATAAGTAAATTTTACTTTCATGATTTTCACTTCAAGCAAGGAAATATTAAATATATATTTGCTAAATTTACTATCGCTTATTCATTTGCATTATTAAATACATAGTTGATTTAACGTAAATTAAATTCTGACGAAGAAAAATTAATTCCAAGCTATATTAAAAATAAACATTTGGAATTTATATTTAATATGAATTTAAAAATATATACAACGTGCATTTAAAATCTTTCTTTAAATATCAAGATAATACTTGTTATCAGAGATAAAACTATTTGTATCAAAATGACATTAAAATAATTCTTGATTGCGACAGTTAATTTTTCTCAAAATAGAAATGATACTACCGCGAATCAAGAAATCGTTATATTTATATTAATTGTTTATTTTAGAATAGAAGAATGTTCAAATATTAATTTTGTTTCTGTTCTAATTCTCGTTCTAAATAAAAAAAATATAATCTATAAAGAAAATATATTTCTTTAAGCGCGTTTTTAGAAAATCGTGATTTTATTATGAGTACATTTTCGTAGCTCAAATTATTTATAACTTTAAATATCTCTATTCGGCCTTTCTATAGATATTTATTTGATTTATTCATAAAACAATCTAGTCTATTATTATTTATACACTTTGACCTTTTAATACGTTCTTTCCTTGTAGTTTATACATTTTAATTGTTGCGATAAATATTATCACGTGCTTCAGCAGTCAAATTGGAAAAAACACCCGTTTTGAATAGAGTTGGGAGATTCCAGATTTAAACCTTTGCTGGAATAATATTTTTTTCAATAAGTTCTTCGCAGTGTTTTAAGATATTTAAGAGCAGCATCATTATTAAATTGAATACCAATTTAACGATATTGTAATTTTAGCTTCAGTTTATAATTGTGTTGCAAGTCTGGTAGTATTCGATGTGCAGTTCACGTAACTGGAAGATGTGCTTAAAAATTACACATAAAATATTAATAGACACAAATCTAGCTTTGAGCTTCGGGCCTTCCTAAATTTATTTGATTTAAATATTCTGTTCAACTTTAAAATTAATTAAACGCTGGTACATGTATACAAAAGCGACATTAAAATTATCCTTGCATTTTTCTTACAATTAGATAGAAAAGAAAAAAAACATGACGGTGCTTCCATGGGGAATGCAAAGATGCTTCGCGGAGGGTTTCACGGCGCGTTCGCTTCGTCTACGGTCGAATGATTTCTCGCCGAGCGTCCGGACTGACAAACGACACCGAAAAAGCAATCGCCGTGAAAGCCTCGGCAATGCGCTGCTCGTGCATCGGCCTCTGTCTCTACGTGGGCGATGATGATGCCGGAAATTTTGCGGTCCAAACACAAGACAAACGTCGTGCCAGTTTTCGCGTTCACTCGCTTGGAACAAGAAATCAATTTTGTATGAATGAAGGAACAAATCTGCGACGACGGCTGCCACAGAACGTCAGCTTTTACTCTCGATTAAAATATTACCCCGTGCGTTTTCAACGTAGAACAAATGACTTGTACGAATCGCATCAGTTTATCCATTCTTATATATTGTATGATTCAATTTTTAAAAATTTATATGATCAGATATAATGATCTTGTATTTCTACTTTTAATATTGGTATTTTTTTTAGTTTACTGTATCTTTTGGTTTAATTTTGGATTTGAATTAAAACTTTACTACTACAATATTTACTACCTAAAAGAACCTAGAAAACCCAGAATTTTAAAGAAATTTCTTTTTTTTATCTTTGTAATTAGGAATTCTTACGGAGTTTTATTATCTCTTTAAAAATTCATTTTATCATTTTTTCTTGATATTGCAAAGTTGACAATCAGTAATAAATGTGGCATATACCCATCTTGATATATATTGTATGAGTATATTCACGTCTCGCTAATTTTATAAAAAATCAAAGTAACAGTAAAAGACAATACTCCGCAAAATGAAGTAACTCGCTGATATTATATTTTAATGAGCTTTTCCTACACTA